CCGTCTCAAAAAAAAAAAAAAAAATTAAACGTTCAATCAATCATGAAAGTGTCAGAGGCGTTTGAACTAGAGAAACTCCATCTTGAATAGGGGCTGGATAAAATGAGGCTGAGATCTACTGGGCCACTTTCCCAGATGGCTAAGGCATTCTAAGTCACAGGATGAGATAAGAGGTCACCACAAGATACAAGTCATAAAAACCTTGCTGATAAAAACAGTGCGCAGTAAAGAAGCCAGCTAAAACCCACCAAAACCAAGATGGCCACAAGAGTGACCTGTGGTAATCCTCACAGCTACACTCTCACCAGTGCCTTGACGGTTTACAAATGCCATAGCAATGGCATGAAGTTATCCTACATGGTCTAAAAAGGGGTGGCATGAATAATCCACCCCTTGTTTAGCATATCATCAAGAAATAACCCTTGCAGCTGCTCTGTCTATGGAGTAGCCATTCTTTTATTTCTTCACTTTCCTAATAGACTTGCTTTCACTTTACTCTGGATTTGCCCTGAATTCTTTCTTTCATGAGATCCGATAACCCTTTCTTGGGTAGGGTCTGGATCAGGACCACTTTGTTGTAACCAAAGAATTTATTTTCATTTCTTTCTAATAACTTACTTTCACTTAAAGAAGATGAAGAGAATGGAGCTTCAAAAGGACTGTTCAAAGTGCATTTGGATATAATAATTACCCTCTTCCCTGACTTCAACAAGTATACTTAGATCAACTTAGATAAATTACCAATTTTACACCATAAGCAGAAAATCAGGTGCACAAAAAAGAGAAGACTTTTTTGTTGTTATGGAGGTGAAGAATGCCACTAAGTAGAAGGAAAGCAGAGTTGGGTCTTCCCTCTGCTAAACGATTATAGGAATGTGGAAGAATTGGGCCTTAAAGCACAGGCAGAAGGACTTGAGGAATTTGCTTTTAACTGCCAAAAAAGGAAAGAGTTGGAGGATTAAAAAAAAAAAAAAAGCTTACTAATGCTTTCTCACAGAGCTTGTCCAAGGCACAACTCTGAGACTGCCTCCATACCAATGTGAATAAAATTACTGTGATAATTTTCCCCAAAATAGTTGCATTAAAAATACCACATTTCACTGAGGAAGGCAGTAAAATATATTTGTAATATACATGGGCTATGGAAAGAGCTCTGGGTTCCAATTCCAGTTCTTTCTCTTTTCTATTTGTGTTCCTCAGTCATGTTACTAAGCCTTTATAAGAATCATCTAAAAATGGGGCCAAACATATATTCCTCCATGATTGATTTGAGATTTATATGAGAGAATATATGTAAAACCAGCCAGCCCAGTACTGGTTAAAATGGGGGAGATGGTCCTGGTTTTATTCCATTAAAGGAATGTAAGGCTCCCACAGCAGGTTATTTTTATGAGGCTCTACTCCAGATCCAGAGCAATGAGGCTGATAACTAAAGCTTCTCAAATGGTTGTTTGACCCACCCCCTAAATGACTTAAAAAATACTAATGTTGAATCACAAGTACAAACACCTGTAGCAATCTTTGCAAAGTAATTTGGGTAGCTTCATGGGATTTGGGGCAGGGGGCTGCAGGGAGCTAGAACCCAAGACTCCCCAGTTATGTCATCCAGCAATGTTGACCAAGTTCAAAGTACTTTCAGATTGACAACTTGCTCAAATGCCATAGCAATCCCATCAGTAGGCAGTATTCTCCTCATTTTAAACATGAAAATGTTGAGGAGCAGGATATAAAGTGGCTCTTAATGGTGGTGCTGGGATTTTACCCAATATTTTGGATTCAGAGTCAATGGACATTTTCTACTTTGCCCCCACTGAGATCTACTCTATGGTTACAAATAACAGTGTATGGTGGCCTAGTGGTGATGGTATTATATATATAATGGATCATAAATAACCAAAGTATTTTCTCCAAGACACTGCGACTATTAGTAAGAGTCCCTTTGTTGTAATGATAAATAATTAATACGTAATAGCCACCAAAACCAATGAACAACAGCAACAACCATAAACTTAGAGCCATACTTTCCCAACTGCTGCTAAAAAGAAATTTTTACTTATTTTATCCTTACATCAATGAGAAGAAAGATTATCTTGCTGAATTTTATGATTTATTCTTTGGATAGAAAAACTCAATTCTCCAGGTTCCTTGGTAAACCTGTGTATTAGTGTTGAGATCAGTACCACTGTTAACCTTTCCTTTGCCAGCAAGTAGCAATTACAGGATAACTAGAGGGTAATTCTAGGGCTTTGTGTCTTTGATTGCAGGAGTAATATGAACCATTCTAACTGTAAATATGAATTATTTAACATATGCTTTCTGCAGAGTAGAAATACATTTTAATGATTTATTTCACCTCCTTAAATGCACAATTTTCCCTTTTTTAGAATCAAGTGATTTCATAAATATAGAAAGTTTAGAACACTAGTAAGAAAACTTGAAATAAATCAAGAAACATTTTCTTCATTTAAACATGGCTTAAACTGAGCACAAAGCAAGATTCTCAGAAACATTGAATAATTGCATGATGACTAGATTTTTTTTCTTTTTCAATGAAATAGATAAAAATATTCAGTGCTTCCATTTATAAACCATTCAAGCTGTAGTTTAAATTACCTAAATTGTTAAATAAGTGAAAATGCAAAAATTTTAAATGGAACTTTCTTCTACTTTTACTGCTCGTTTCTTTCCCTTTCTCTTAAGCACTATTTATTGCATATCCTGTCTCTATATTTAGTTTCCAATCTCTGCTTTCTACTTTTTATTTGCTCCACCACTCTTTTCTTTCTTCTAAATATTTACAATGAAGCCCAAGTATATATAATCTATTTGTTTACTCTATTTATTTTTATTCTTTGAAGATCTGTCTTCTTTCTTTATTATTTTCAGTTCTTCCCTTACTTAGTTGCTTTCATTATGACTCCACTTCACACTTTCTCTTTCCCACTCCATTAACTGAAGTTTCCCTCATAACTATCCCAACACATCTCATTCCAATATTGAGTGGTTACTGTATTATTCATTATCTCTGGTGTTAACAGAATCATGGTTCCACATGAGGTGGAGTTTGGGAAAATGAATCAACCACTCACTGCTCACTGACCTACTCCATTGATAGGCTAGAGGTCACACTAAGACAATGATGCAATAAAACAGTATATATCTTATAAAAATTGTCTTGTAAAAATTCAGTCTATAGATTTATATTTGTTCTTCTGCATAAAAACATATCCATTATTTAAGACTTGAAATTTCACTCCATGTATGTCCATAAAGACATACTGTCTTTGTGTCTACTTACTACATAAAGAAAATATATGTATTTTTTAAGACCCCAAATAACTTGAAAGTGTTGAAAGTTCACTTTTATTCCTTATACTTCATAATAAAATGTCTAACAATTTGTTTAAGAAGCTACAACCAAAAACACTATTAAGCAGTAAAATAAAGAAAATTTGAAAGTCAGGCACATAACCCAGCATGCTTTAAATCTTACTTGTTCTTTAGATCCCACGGGTGTTCACCAGACGTCTCCCTAAACAAAGAAGAAATGTGACAACAATTAAAATGTGAAAACGATGCTTTTAAAATACTGCTTATTTAGGTGATGCATGTTTATATTATTTAGCGAGTAGAAATGTCAAATTCCAACAAAAAGTAAAATTGTTTGTATTTTGACTTTTCCTTTCACACTTGTTGTAAAAAAGCAATTTAAAGCCTTCCTTTTAAAGCAACAAGAAGTAAAACATATTATGATTCTGGGAAAAGAAATGATAGTTTCCAAATATTAAACGTATTCCCTAATCAAAATTACATGTGGTAGAATAGAAATAACATATAGAACCATCAAGTGTCATTAAATAAAAACAAAATTGTGCTAGAAAAGCCTATGAAGAATTCTTACAAAAGGGAATATTTTTTGTACTGAAAACATTTGTTAGGATTTTAATTTCTTGGTAAACATAAAAAAGCCCATTGAGTTTCTTTAAACAACATTATAGAATTTCTATTATAGAAAGACAAAATCTCCCAGACTATAATAATAAGGTTATAAAAGAAAGAAAGAGGCCGGGCATGGTGGCTCTCGCCTATAATCCCAACACTGGGAGGCTGAGGCAGGCAGATCACAAGGTCAGGAGTTTGAGACCAAACTGGCCAACATGGTGAAACCCTGTTTCTACTAAAAATACAAAAAAATTAGCCAGGTGTGGTAGCGGGCACCTGTAGTCCCAGCTACTCGGGAGGTTGAGGCAGGAGAATCACTTGAATCCAGGAGGCAGAGGCTGTGGTGAGCAGAGGCTGTGCCACTGTACTCCATCCTGGCAACAGAGGTAGACTCTGTCTCAAAACAACAACAAACCTGGAAGTTTATTATTAATATAATTTTTTATCAAGGTTGAGAAAGATACAAGTCCATGAAAGTGTTGTAGTGTTTCAAGAGTTTTATAATTTATAAGTAACTCTAAAAACTGGGCACCTATGTTGGTACTTTCTCCATGATTTCCGTTAAACTTGTTTTCTTTTTTTTCTTTTTGGAAGAGTGGAAATGAAGAAATTAACCTGGGCTCTATGTGAACAGCTGAGGCAAGTGGAGACATTAATTCATTTCTGTAAATTTCTAGAAATTAAAAACTGATCTTGAGTTACATAAAGCTTATCAGTGGTGCTCTGCAGACATGGAAGGGAAAGGGAAGAGGGAGATATTAAAGGTCCATAAATAAACTTTTGGAGCTGATGGATATGATTGTTATCTTGAGTGTGCTCAAGAGTTTCTAGGCATATACTTGTGTCTAAATTCATCAAATGGTATGCTTTAATGCATGCAGTATATTGTATGACAATTATACTTTAATAAACCTCTAAAAAGTGTAAGGATGTGAAATATACATTTAATGTAGAGCACGAAATGCATGGATAAATCATTCAATAAATTAATGGGAGTTGGTATTCTTGTGATTTTTGTTTTAAAAGATTATCTGTTTGCTGTGTGCAGATTACGTTGAGGAGACAGTGATAGGAAGTGGAGATGAAATTCATTAAGAAGGCTTGGACCACCATATTAACAGCTGATGTAAAAGATGCTGGATGGATTTATGATACAATTAGAAGGTACAAAGAAAAGGCTGGCTGAGACACTGAATGTGAAGGTAAGACAAAATAAGGAACCAAGAATGATGGCCAGGTTTCTGGCTTGAACAACTGGGGTGCATGTGCTGCCATCTGAGATGGTGAAGACTGAAAATATAATAAGATTTAAGTGGAATAGAAGAATTCCATTTTGGACATATTTTATTTGAAATGCTTGTGAGACAATCAAATGGAAATGTTCAGTTGGGTAAGGGTTTCTATAAGCCAGAGGATAAGTCTGAGTTACACAACTAATTTTGAGACTTGCCAGCACATACCTAAGAGAGTGAGTGGCTGTCATGAAGTGGACGCAAAGGTCATTGAATCAGAATAGATAAAAGCACCCAGAGTCAGGATGCTAGATGACGTATTTACTTGGATGTGTATATCCTCTAAATAACCAGAATGAGAGTGAAAAAGAGTTCTAGGAGCCAGAAGCTAATTTTAATTATTTCTTGTGTTTTTTACAGACTAATGCTTATGTTTAAATATTCACAGTGTAGGTGGTATGCAAAAATATAATATTTTTGCAATTAGTCTAATGTGCTGCCAGTTTAACCTTTAAATTGTCTTCAAAGGTCTGTGGATGTCGAATGATTTAAGAAGTATTTTAAATCACTTCTCCTAAAGTACATTTCTTAAATAATAAACACATCTTTTGTGACATAAACACCTTAAAAATCAAATTAGAAATGAAGTACAGTTATATGCTGCATAACATGTCAGTCAACAATAGACTGCATATATGACAGTGGTCTCATAAGATTATAGTAAAGCTGAAAAATTCCTATTTCCTAGTGATGTGGTAGCTGTTGTAATGTATAGCACAATGCGTTACTCATAGCATGTACAATCATGTATGGTGCATAATATTAGGTTGGTGCAAAGTAATTGCAGTTTTTGCCATTAAAAGAAATGGCATTAATACTTGATAACAAATGACTATGTTACTGGTTCATGTATTTTCTATATTATGCTATACTTCATATTGTTATTTTAGAGTGTACTCTTTATTTAAAAAAATGTTAACTACAAAATGGTCTCTGGTGATATGCTAAAATAAGGCATTGTTATCATAGGAGATGACAGCTTCATGTGTGTTATTGGCCTTGAAGACTTTCTAGTGGGACAAGATGTAGATAAAGAAGACAGTGATACTGATGATTCTTACCCTGTGTAGGCCTAGACTGATGGGTGTATTTCTGTCTCGATTTTTAGTAAAAAAAAATTTTAAGTACACAAAAAATTTAATAAGAAAAATATGTAGATATTAAGAATAGAAAGAAATATTTCTGTACAACTGTACAATGTGTGCTTTAAGCTAAGTGTTATTACAAAAGAGTCAAAAAGTTCAAAAAATGTTTATAAAGTAAAAAATCTTAGCTTACAGTAAGAACACATGGACACAAGGAGGGGAACATCACACACTGGGGCCTGTCGGGGAGTGCAGGCGGTTGGGGGGAGAACACTGGGACAAACAGGTAATGCAGGTAGGGCTTAAAACCTAGATAACGGGCTAACAAGTGTAGCAAACCACCATGGCACATGTATACCTATGTAACAAACTTGCACATTCTGCACATATATCCCAGAACTTAAAGTAAAATAAAAATAGAAGTGAAAAAATATATAAAAAGAAAAGTTAGCTTACAGAAGATTAATTGATCACTGAAGAAAGAAAATATTTTAAAATACATTTGCCATAGCCTAAGTGTGTACTGTTCATAAAGTCTATAGTAGCATGCAGCCTTGTCCTAGTTCTTCACATTACTCACTGCTCACGTGTTGATTTACATAGAGCAACTTCCAGTCCCGAAAGCTCCATTCATCATAAGTGCCCTATGCAGGTGTAGCATTTTTTATCTTTAGTACCATATTTTTATTGTATCTTTTCCTTGTTTAGTTATATTTAGAAACACAGACACTGGCCACTGTGTTAGAGTTGCTTACAATATTCAGTACAGTAATATTCTATACAGGCTTGTAGCCTAAGAACAATAGGCTATACCACATAACCTAAGTGAGTAGTAGGTTGAACCATCTAGGATTCTGTAAGTACATTCTGTGATGTTTGCACAGTGACAAAATTGCCTAAGGATGCATTTTTCAGAACCTATTCTTCTTGCTAAGTGATGCATGGCTGTATAGAGCTTCACTAAGATTTTCAAAGAAGTCAACAAAATTTGCAGAACTTGAATACTCTTTCTTTGCAACATGTGCATAGAATATGGAGAAACTGTAATATGATTTGCTGAAGGTAGCTGTAAAATCTATATTGGAATACTAAAAAATCAGTTGCTTTTACATGTTCATAGAGATCAATCACAGAAATAGAGCAAACAATATTGGAATTATAGTGCATTGTTATAGAAGGAAAATAAAATGCAGAAATTTCATGGCTGGCATAACTGGCATTTTTCAAGGTAATGTTCAGCCTGAGAATAATCCATGGTAGATTTGGTTTTGTTAGTTTCCCTTGGTTTTGAACATTAGAGGATGTTGGGAAGTCAACATCCCAGATTTTTGTTTCTTCATTTGTAAAATGAAACTAATACAAATAACTTTACAGGGTTTTGGTAGGAATAAGTGGGATAAAGTGAATACAAATGCCTTGTACAGTGTAAAGTACGACAGACTACACAAATAACACCATCACAACAGTGAGATATCATAGCTAAATGTGGCACTTGATATTACTCAAAAGAAATATTCAGTGGATTCTCAGTTAAGGGGAGGGTCCAAGATGGCTGAATAGGAACAATTCCAGAGTGCAGTTCCCAGGAAGAACAACACAGAGGGTGAGTGCCCACCGCATTTCCAAACAACTTTTCACTGCCCACAGACGAGGAGATTCCCGGGTCGAAGTTCATCATGGATATCAGCCTGATGCAAAAATCTTCAATAAAATACAGGCAAACCAATTGCAACAGCACGTCAAAAAGCTTATCCATCATGATCAAGTAGGCTTCATTTCAGGGAGGCAAGGCTGGTTCAATATATGCAAGTCTATAAACGTAATCCACCACATAAACAGAACCAAAGACAGAAACCACATGATTATCTCAATAGATGCAGAGAAGGCCTTCAACAAAATTCAATAGCCCTTTATGCTAAAAACTCTCAATAAACTAGGTATTGAAGGAACATATCTCAAAATAATAAAAGCTATTTATGACTAACCCACAGCTAATATCATACTGAATGGGCAAAAACTGGAAGCATTCCTTTTGAAATCTGGCACTAAACAAGGATGCCCTATCCTACCACACCTATTCAATATAGTATTGGAAGTTCTAGCCATAGCAATTAGGCAAGAAAAAAAATAAAAGGGTATTCAGTTAGGAAAAGAGGAAGTCAAATTGTCTCTATTTGCAGACAACATGATTGTATATTTAGAAGACCCTATCA